GCCTATGTGAATCACCGGCCAAATATCTCCTAGGAGCATGAGGCCAACTTAAAAGCCACTCTAAGTAGTCGATGAACCAGTTCTTGGAGCTAGCCTTTTTGCCAGAAGCACGAAACAGAAGCCCTTTCTTTCTTAAGCAATCAAGAAGTGTTTGTTTCACATGAGGAGGAAGAACTAAAATTGCATTATGTATGTTGCTTTTTGTTAAGAACATTGTTTCAGAGTCACTGGTCGCCTCCTGTGGGATATACAAGTTAAAGTTTTCAACAACATCTTTGCCATCTATCAGTTCTTTCCTGCAATGTACCCATGCCTGCTCTGCCTGCAGTCAGAATATCTTGTCAAATATTGGTGATGATCCTCTTATATAAGAATGATACATGTTTGCATGTAGCTTGAGTATAAATAACACAATCTTGCTTTCAAGTGCCAGAAACTTGTACATTGATCTCCCCGTGTATCAAAAAACCTATATAATTGTGTCACCTAAATAGATTCTTAGCTTTGTTGTAACAGGAACCTGCTAGTGTTACATGTTAGGCAAGATCGCAGACCGACTGACTTTAATTTCTCTTCTCATTAGCAACCAAAGGTTAGTTCTTGCTTGATTTCAAGAGAATACACACTACTACAAATTTCCTAATAGACTACACTGCATAGGCATCGGAAAAATTGAAAAACGATGCCATTATGGTATGAGGCATCCGACGAAAAAAACATAAACAATCATGTACATTGCAGAGACAAAAAAAAGCTTAGATTTAAAATAAAATAAAATTATTGATACAAGTTTTAATCAATTTCTAATTAAAGGTAAAACAGTTTGGCCGATTTTCTGCATTATAGTGACCAAGAAATTTCAAGAAACTAGAATTTCCACAAGGCTATGCCTACCATCCCAATTGCAAAATGGAAAATTGGCAAAATGGTTTCAACCTTGAAGGTCAGAACATAGCTAATAATCATGAAAGAGGAAAAAACCAGCAGAGAAAAATTAGAAGGAAATTCAACATACCATGTCTTCGTCTATCTCCTGCGAAACCCAACCATCTCCATTGCCTATAAATGTTTCCCTTGACCTCCTCACCCCCTCGGAGGCCCTTATCACCAATGCACAAAGCAGAATCATAAAAACAACCGCATAACTGCCTCTTCTCATTTCCATCCCATCCATATATTTTCCTTCTCATTTCATCGAACTTGACACAAAATCCTGCAATTTCCCTCAAACCAAACAGAAACGTTTCGAAAGCACCAGCCTTTCTAGCTTCCAACAACAATGGCCGCGCGCCCTTCTGCTCCTTGGTCTTGGAATGACGTGCACCAGATAATTAAAATCTTCAAATCTGGCAATAACCCAATTCAAATTTCTCAGCTTTAGGAAGAACCCACAAGTTCCCCAATGAATCTCAATCGTAAAGCTGAGATTTTTCAAGATTTGAACGTGGTGATATGACATGCAAGCAGCAAAACAAACAATGTATGCAGCAGAGAGTGGCTATTAAATTAGCCCCCAAGATTATACTTTCGTGTTTTGAACGTGGAGGAGATACATTAACCAATGCAACATTGTCTTCACGATCAGAAATCTAAGAAATTCATGGAAATGGAATCAAAACAGAAAGTCATGCAGAGCTCTAATCCAATCCAACCCAGAAGAAGGATTTAGCTAATTGGATATTTTGATAATATGTTTTTCTGTTTAGATTTTTTTTTCTTCGTCAGGATGTTTCTTTATTTTCGGGGGGTTTAAGAGGAGAGAGAAAGAAAATCCCGCGTAATATAGACGTGCGGAGAACAATGTGGGACAGCCATTGGTTGTCTTGGACTTATTTGGTCTTTTGCCTCTTGACCTCCTCTGTTTTTTTTTCGATATTTGCCTTCAACTAATTTTTGTTTTCTCATTTTCTTGTCGAATATTATTTATATGAGTCCAAAATTTATCATACTATCTATACCATTAAGAGCCTGCGGTGCCATTTGGGCTAGTTCTTTCCCACCTTATTATTATTTTTTTCTGTCCAAAAAAAAATTAAAAAAAAAAAAAAAAAAAAAAACAATAATTATATATATATATATATATACTATTAAGAGCAAGCAAGGACACATGACTTCAAAAGGGGTTGGGTTGACCCTTGAAACTCAAGAAGAGTAGAAGGGAGGAGGGAGGAAGGGGCTGCAATGAGAGAAAGTATTGTATAGTATTGGAGTATGATCACGTGGTATAACACGTCAATGTGTTATAATATAAGTGGACAATATGGTTAAGATTTTTTACTTTTAGAACAGAATCAATAAATATCAACTTATATTATACTATGCGGATGATTTATACCATGTAACCATATTGCAATACTAAACTATAATTACTCGATGAGGAATAAAAAACAAAATTTCACACCTACATGGTTAGCCCACACAGAAACAACAAACTAAACAATATGATGTAAATAAATGGTAACATAACATTCATCATAAAATTGATGCGTCTCTTGCAATTGGGGTTATTTATTTATATAAGCAATAGGTGCATTAGAAATTCAAATGGGGATGTAGCTCAGATGGTAGAGCGCTCGCTTAGCATGCGAGAGGTACGGGGATCGATACCCCGCATCTCCACGTTATTTCCTTCTTCTTCTTTTTTGTTTTGTTTTTTTACTCATTTTCTTACTGCAGATTCAAGAGAGAGAAAGCTCAAAACCTCAAAACTTGTTTTAACAAAACTAAAATGCCCGCCACCTTCTACTCTTCTACTTCTACCACACCCACACTGCCGTAGTATTTGATTGCTTCTGAAGATTTTTTATATTCTTTATTTTACGTTTTCCAAATTCATTTCTCATGAATGGCAATATCAGTCTCAAACTCCTCAAGAAATCTCTTTGCACCACCACTGTCCATTTCAAAGAACAACCTCTCAGCCCGCCACTCACTTCCCTACAATGTGGGACCATCTTGCAATCGCTCACCAACACCAAATCTTTCCCAAAAGGCCAGAAACTCCATTCCCTCATGGTTACTTCTGGCAATCTCCTAAACAATACATATCTAAGTACGAAGCTCGCTGCTTTCTACGCAAACTGCGGCAGGATGGCCCAAGCCCAGGTGATTTTTGATGGTATTCTGTTGAAAAATTCGTTCTTGTGGAATTTCTTGATTAGGGGATATGCTTGTAATGAATGCTCATTAAAGGCTCTTGTTTTGTACCGTGAAATGCTTAGTTTTGGACAAAAGGCGGACAATTTTACTTACCCTTTTGTTCTTAAGGCGTGTGGTGATCTGTTGCTTGTGGAAACTGGGAGGAGAGTTCATAGTGAGGTTGTGGTTAGCGGGTTGGAGTCAGATATTTATGTGGCTAATGCTCTTCTTGCAATGTACTCGAAATTTGGGGATATGGGATTGGCGAGGATGCTGTTTGATAGAATGCTTGAGAGAGATTTAATTTCTTGGAACACAATGATTTCGGGTTATGTGAAGAATGGTAATCCGAGAAAGGCTTTAGAAGTTTTTGAGAAAATGGGAAAGGCTGAGTTAAAAGCAGATGGCACAACTTTGCTTGGAATCCTCTCTGCTTGTGCTGAGTTGATGGCCTTGAAGCTGGGGAAAGAAATTCATGCATATGTGGTTCAAAAGAGTGGTGAAATATGTAATGAGTTTTTGACAAATTCTCTTATCGAGATGTATTGTAATTGCAAGTCTCTGGCTTATTCAAGGCGATTATTTGATGGGGTGAAATTGAAAGATACAGTGTCATGGAACTCTATGATTAGAGGCTATGAGCAGAATGGAGATGCTTTTGAAAGCTTACGACTTTTCTGTCGGATGGTTATGGAAGGTGCAGAGGTTGATGAGGTAACTATTATAACTATACTAGGAGCTTGTGACCAGATCAGTGCCTTGCAATTTGGCATGTCTATTCATTCATGCCTCGTCAAGAAAGGCTTTGGTGCAAATATCATTGTGGGAACTGCCCTCATAGACATGTATTCTAAATGTGGAAGTTTGTCTTGTTCACGTCGTGTTTTTGATGAAATTCCCCGAAAAAACTTGGTTTCTTGGAGTGCTATGATTTCAGGATATGGGGCTCATGGTCAGGGAGAAGAGGCTATCTCCTGCTATCATGAACTGGTAGCAAACAATTTTACTCCAGATGAGGGGGTTCTTACTTCGGTTTTGTCAGCATGTAGCCATGCAGGCCTAGTCAATGAGGGGAAACATATTTTCAACAGAATGACCATAGAATACAATGTGAAGCCTCGGCTTGCTCACTATTCATGTCTGGTGGATCTTCTGGGAAGAGCAGGGTATGTACATGAAGCATATGAACTCATTAAGACCATGGAAGTAAAACCCAGCAGTGATATATGGGCTGCACTTCTTTCTGCTTGCAGGCTACACAAAAATGTCAAGTTGGCAGAGGTTTCAGCACAAAAGGTTTTTGAAATGAATCCAAAAGGAGTGGGGAGCTACATTTGCCTTTCCAATATTTATGCTTCTGAGAAGCGATGGGATGATGTGGAAAGAGTGAGAGCCATGGTGAGAAGTAAGGGACTGAAAAAACCACCTGGCTGCAGCTTTGTGGAGGTAGATAAGATGGTTCATAGGTTCTTAGTTGGAGATAAGTCACACCCGCAGACACATGATGTTTATGCCAAGTTAAAAGATTTGAATCTGCGGCTCAAGGAGGCTGGATACAAGCCTGACACCACTTCAGTGTTCTATGATGTTGAAGAAGAAGTAAAGGAGAAGATGCTTTGGGATCATAGTGAGAGATTGGCAATTGCTTTTGTCCTTATTAACACAGGACCAGGGACCACAATCAGGATTACCAAGAATCTTCGTGTGTGTAATGATTGCCACACAGTAACGAAAATGATTTCTGAGCTTATGAATCGAGAGATTATAATGCGAGATATCCATAGGTTCCACCACTTTAGACATGGATTTTGCTCTTGTGGGGATTATTGGTGAATAATCTTTTGTCATAAGACATATGTACATTCATTCCATGGGAAATACAGATTCTTTTATTCACACAACAAACATCTCAACTTGTTTTGACATTGCCACATTATGCCAATTTATTGGTTATCCAGATCGAACCACCACTTTATTTAATTCATTGCCAGCTACTTCTCTTCCCACTTGGCTGTTGTATCACTTAAATAGAGAAAATAATTTCCCTATCAAATTAGAAAGTAGACCACCACTGACTTTCATATCTGTTTCCTTATCCCATGGGAATGGATCCTCTGCTTTGGTTGCTTCCAGAAGATGTTCGATTGAAATCTCTGGTTTTGACCGCTCCAAAGGACCTAGGTGGTGGTTGTACTTCTCTGGGTCTGGACAGTAATCCTGCAGAAAATAGGGACGGAATGACATTTTTCACCATGAAAGAGCATATGCTTAAGGTACATACATGAAGATTGCTTACCTGATCAGCATGCATCTTCTTTACAAATGTCTTGAATAAGTTGAGATTCGTCTTTTGTAGTAGTTCATCAGACAGACGAAGGTATGTCACTCCGTACATCCTCAATTTTGGTTGGCTGTCTCTATTGATGCCATTTGGTCTAGCATTTAAAAGGATTTGGTTATAAGCTGTACTGTCGTACCTCGAAAGTGCATTTTCCCCTGCAACTTCTATGTTTTCTCTCCAACCTCCACTCAAAACCTGCACATGCATGTTGCAAACTATAATTTTCATCGTACACAGTTGTACTTTTTAAAAGCATCATTAGAATAATTTTTTTTATTTGCTATTAAAGTGCTTTTCACTTTCCATATGTTCTTCAATTGAAGAGTATAAATTCGTTAAGAAGCATATTTGATACGTTCTAGCTAGAACCTGGGGTTTTACTGGAATTGGGGAATTGAATTTCATGTTTATGATACTATATAATTGTCAAAGCAAAGAAAGATGTATTTTTGTAGGTTTTCCAGAAAAATCATTTTTGGCATGTTTTGAGGGGATTGTACAAGTAGATAACACTACATCAGCATTTTCTCAATTAGAAATGAAACTGAACTAGGAAAGCTGGTCTTAACAAAATTTTCACTTTTTACCTGCTGAACAAGTTCCTGAGGCGCACTTTTGGCATCAGCACTTTGTTCAGAGTCCCTCATCTCTAAACATGTGAAATTCAAAATAGCATGATGCCTTGACAGCATCCTTGCTATAGGTCGGTACCCATCTCTATCTTTCAAGTTGTAGTATCCTGCAGTAAGCTCCGCGGCATGATTATCAGCTTTATACCACCAGTGGATTCCAGATACCTGTTTTGATAATCAATCATGTACTCTTGGATTAACATCGGGTGAAAGATGGTATGTAATGCTAAATATGAGTTAGTTATGATACTAGAATATTTACTTTGGCTGCTAGCTTTAATTTACACCCCACAAAAGCTTTGTTGGCTTCATCCAGGATCTGATCGCCATGGCTCAGTAATTTGTTAGAGTACCAAGTCAAGAAGAACTTCCCTTTCTCAGTAAGGTATGTCCCGTTTGATTTGAAGAACTCTGTAGATTCAGGAGTGTCATTGTATTCTCCTGCATTATCTGGCAACTCCCATTCAGGATGACCTGCAGCTGTTGCAGCCTCTTTGAAGTCTGCTTGGAGATACTTGTCATAGCACTGCAATATGAAATAGGTAATGTGTTTTGAACTTAATTTTGCTTGAATAGGGCCAATAAGCAATAGGATTGTCAAATTAATAAATCAGTCCCACCTGAAATTCTCCAATGCCGGGGAAAACCCATCCTTGACTTTCTGGATAAGAGGGATACCTGAGCTCTCCTGCAGGGCCAAGCCCCACTTCAATGTCTATAATAAGTCCGGTTTCTAGAAAATCTGCAATGTTCTCTCTGAAGCTCTTCATATAATCACTATAGATCTGAATTATAACGATTAACATATACATCACCATAAAAGAATGAATACTAGCTGACTACGTGAAGATAACACATTGAAATCTTGTGAAGCTTACCTCCACAGCAGTTCGTCCACTAAGGAGACACCGGTTATCCACACCTAGGGTGAGGTATTCCGGGTTCCTGTTACCTTTGAGATTGGTATAAAAGATATCAGGGTCCGATTCTCCGATATCAAGTACCCATTGAGGGAGTGGGATGGTTACAACATCTCCTACATTCCCACCACACTGGTGGAATGACATTATAGCTTGTAATTTCAACCCACATTCCTGAACTGCTTGAAACAAGCTCCTGTAAGCAGTCCAATCATACTGCTTAGGTCCTTTGGACTCTATGATCCCCCACCACACATCTATCATGACCCCATCAACACCTGCTGCTTGCAGCTCCTTCAGCTCCTTCACGAGTTTGTCTTTGTCTTCTAAAACGTTATCAACCGTAATAACTCCCAACTGGTATGAAGAAAAATTGAAAGAAAAATTAGCGCTTTTGCTCGGCGATGATTATTATATTTTATAGTAAAGTGGATACATAACATGTCAGTGAGCAGAAGAAGAATTGTTTATGACTTACAGGGAGCATCACAAAGATTGGCACATAATTTCTGAGCATCTTTTCTTCATAAGTGAGTGTACTTGCAGCCTGCATTGTTGAGTAAGAGAAGAAGTTTTAGGCTTAATTTCTCTGAAAGGATGAGACTGGTGTAAAATACTACTCCAGCATGTTGCCTTTTATAGAAAATAGATTGCTATCTTGATGACCAAAAAAGCAAAAAAAGAAAAAGAAAGCACTTGACCTTATCTTTACATGAAAATGAGTGCACAAATTAATTATTGCTGGCCCTTAATGGGGGCCACATATCAGCTAAAATCCACATGGTTACTTTGTTTGCATTCTGTATCTGCCATTTGTACCACTTCTAAGAATCTGATCCATACATGCCCTCAAATATCTTTGCAAAAGTAGGTAATAGATGCATGATACGATGGGTATTAAGGTCATTTCAGGCCTCATGGGCTATAGGACCATACCGACCATAAATTAATTAATCCTAAAGTAAAAAAATAAACTTGGAAGTGGCGACAAGGCAAATAAAGTTATTTCAAACCCATTATTTTGTTTTTCTCAATATCTCAAACTCATAAGATATTTATGGCAGAAGTTGTGCATGAGAAAATTGTGAGGCAGTTACTTACCATCGGTTCTGTGGTGGAAATTTCAGATGCCACAGCTTGCGGAGGGCTTCTGCTGATTATACTGGGGGAACTGAATGTAGGAGCATTCTTCGTTCCTTGCCTCCATACTTTACTTGCTCCTTCTGCATTCTCAGGTACATTTATGAAAAGAACATTTGTGCAGAAGAAGCACCTGCTGTGAAGCCTTATTTTCTCTCCCAAACTACCTAGAGTTACGCTTGTCATGGCGCCGATTATATATATATGGCTTATTTTTACGTGCAGTATGAGGGTTTTTGTGTCTAATTCCTAATCCTATTTTCTGGCATGAAAACTCTGCTTTCTTGTTTCTTACATTGATAGATATATATATATATATATAGGTTCATGCTTATGGAGTCTTTCTGGAGACTTCTGGTTCGAAACGCAAAGAGAAGAGACGGTGGATGCAAAGTGAGTAGACAAACACGTACCGTCCTACATTCTTTTCTGGCCATGCTTATTTTGATTATCGTCTTCTTTCAGGTCATTGTCTTCTCTATTTTTTGTGGAATTGAGAGCATCTGCTGTAGGATAGGAACAAAAATGAAAACTGTAAATGTAAAAAACAAACTAAAAATGAATTTCCCGATTTGTATTCCTTATAAAAAGAGGGATTTGTTAATTGTGATACGAAGATTACCCCTTCAAAATAATTAGACATTGCAGAAGGTAATAATTTTGGAAATTGGGCTAGACCCTGATCATTAATCCAAGTTTTCTTTTATCTCATGTTAGCTAAACTCAAACTAGTGAACTCTTTTGATCGAGAAATTTTTATATGTTCCGGATACATTACATTCGTCTAATTTATTTTTTGGTCATATGTATATAACTAATTTTGGGGAGGAACTGATTTCCAATACGCTCATGAAAGAAAACAGGTAATTCATTTATTTTATTATATATATATTAATATTATAATTATAAAGAGAATGAAATTTGCTTGGGTTTGATTGCATGACAGAAAGCCCATGATATACAAGACTATGAATTTAGTCCAAAAGCAACCCACAAAGGGAAAAGTGCTTTTGAAAACATTGGGAGCCCATCAGATAAGATTGTAAATAAGAGCAAACCAAGGGTGATTTTGATTATAAGCAAGTCATCCAGCTCAATCCCAAGATTAATGACATGGCACTCTGTCAAACATAGTTGGTGGCTCACCTCCCAATATATCCTCTTCAACGGCTTTACTTTAATGTCCCCTTTCTGGACTAACCAGCCTCGTTTAGTACTGATTAAATACTCCTCACCTTTTCACCCACATACCCAAAATGCCCCTCTCCTCATGTGAGTGATTAATTGCAAGACCAGAAGCAAATTTCCATTCATATACCAAAAATGCGCCTCTCTTCTGAATTAACACTATGGGGTTGATTAATTGCAAGAACGAGAGCGAGGTTTATAACTCAAGTGGTTAATAGCAGAACTTCCTTCCTCAATACCGCTCGTATTAAAATATAATTGACAAGATTAAGGGTATTTTGGGAAAGTCACTCTCTGCAACAATGCAGCTAAAGCTAATGGTACAGTGGTACTTGGCGTTGGCAAATGGCAAGAACAAAGCCATGCTACCTCTGAGTTGAAGTTGGGCTTCACGTGCCACACTTAACTCTCTCCGAAATCCTAAAATCCACAAAAGCCAAAAAAAAGACCAAAACCAAAATGCACACTCACACTCACCCTCACTCTCTTCTCTCATCTTCTTCACCATGAGAAGAAGACGAAAAGGACCCAACAAACCCCACCACCCCCATTCTCTCTGTCAATCTCTCAGGCTCTGAACCAGAAAACCTAGAAAAGGAAATACAAAAATGTGCTATGTGGGAAAAGCAACAAAGATCTTCATTTTCGTAGTCACAGTGCTTGTGGTTCTTGGGCTCGTTTTGGGATTTGGGGTTTTGCGGCATGGCCTCCAGAAAACCCACAAATGCTCCGCCGATTCAGACTCTTGCCACTCTGTCTCTTCTCCCCCTCTCATCATCCCCAACCCCAATTCCAGTTCGAACCAGCCCAACCCTCCATCCACAGATCCCACCTTGACCCAGCCCAGCCCAGCTACCCCCAATTTCAACCCACCTCCACCCAACCCGGATTCAAACCAGCCTCCGCCGACCTCAATTTCAAGCCCACCTCCTCCACCGACCTCAATTCAAACCCCACCTCCTCCGGTGACCCCAATTCAAACCCCACCTCCGTCAGACCCAACTCTCAATCCGCCATCTTCTCCGCCTCCGCCGGCTTCAACGGCGCAGCCGCCGTTCAATCCACCAAGGCAGGCTCAGGTGACGCCAGGCCCTGCCCATGCGTAGCTCCAATTTCGTTCTGCATATTCATTTCCCCACAATTATTTTGATTTTTCAATCTTTTTGATTCTTATTATTGGATGGGTGGGTAAGTAATGTTGGGTTCAGATTGTACATTATGTGTTTGTTGATTTTGTAAAGGTGGATTTGATTTGGAAAGGAAAGAGAGCATCTTTGTCAGCGGACAGTCTGTGTGTTCATCTTTTCTTACTATGATGACTTTTCTTTTACTTTTAATCTTTTGGTGAATTTCGATGTCCGTCTGTTTAGCGCTTGTCAATCAGGTTGACTACGTTGTCTATACTATGGTATCATACTATCATAGGTTCTGGATAATAGAGTACCACCAAATTCGTTCTAAAAACCACAATATTGTTGCAATATTTATGCTATCTAATATGCCAATATTTCGATTCAAATGCAAATATTCTTTACAACTTGACTATTAATCAAATGAAAAATTATGAAGTTATTTCATAAAATTAATTACTGTTATTATACAAACTAAATTATTTTTCTATTTAGCGTAACCATCATTTTCAAGTACGTTAACAAGAATTAGGAATAGAGGTCCAATATGATGCAGAGAGTTCCAAATTATGTTGAAGGGAGCCACGATATTATGGCGATGACATCGTTTCACGGCGACTGCTTCCACATCACAAAATAAACTAACAATGTTGATAAAAAAAGGAACGAAGAGAAAAAGAAGGAATGAAAAGAGAGGGAAGGAGAACAAGCAACACATATGGTTCCATTACTTGTGTATTTATCAAATAATGAGGTAGGAACAACGAATTTGGTATTTATCACATAGATTCCCTTACTTGTGTCACTTGTACCAAAGAATTGTGCATTCGGCACACCTTCATACCAAATTATAGCACCTCGATCGAGAAGATCTTCTCCTGCTTCACGTATGCATGTTTTGCAACGAGTGAGATAGAGTTGAGTATCCCAGCATTGGGCTAGCCCAATTACATGATTCAGTCCTTCTTTAGAAGATCTGTCCTTAACTTGGTCCCTTCGAAATCCTAAAGATGAAATACTGTTGCTTAATCTTTCCGTCAGTAACAAATTCAAGTTCTTATCATATCGTCCCCAAGGTGATGCCCCACATGAGGAGTTTCGAGGGTCACATGTAGAAGAAGGGAGAAATATACGAGAGTCAAACAGATGAACGATTTATAGCAATACATGTTAATATAATTAAGAAATCAAAATTGAAATCCCTTATGAGTATATCATTTATCGCATCTCCCTCAGCTTCCTCAGCCCCAAACCCATCCCAATGAAGCAGGTGGGTTCCTCTGCAACCCCTATATGTGTTTCGAGCTCTGAACAGACCATCAATTGATTCAACTCCATGGAATTGTTCTGCCCCAAACCCTAAACCCTAAAGTCTGGCTCCTGTCTGTTTGGTTGTGTTGTAGCTTGTTGGGCTGTTTACTTACTTTCCCTTTTGTTTAATGAAAGTGTGTTTCGACTAAAAAAAAACGACGAAATGGGTTATTTGGACTTGATTTGCTGACGATGCTAACTCCAATGATAAAAATCGGAAAATTAAAATTTTGGTGACCAAATTTAAATTCAACCATAACCACAGTGACCACAAATGTAATTACCCTTAAAAAGAAATGACATTTAAAAAAATAAAGAAAAAAGGCATGTTAAAACGACCGTTTAACTTAAAACCCAGTTTTTTTTATAAAAAAAACTTGCTATATGAAACGACATCGTTTCATTGAAGCAAACTTTAAATATAAAAAAAACAACTTTCACACGACTTCATCTCCTCCCTCACACTGCAGCTTGCAGATCACACAATGGCGCAGTTGTGCATCGACATGCCTCATCGCACCTTGTCACGCTAAACGTGCAGCAAGCTAACCAGATGAACGCCCAAGGAGATTTCCATTTGCTCGCATCGAGGCACGCTTAGGCATGCCTTTGAAAACACTGCTCTACAGCCACCAATTTAAGTCATTGGGGTCTTCTCCACTCCTATGCGGTCATTGACGTAAGTCCATGGTGTTCCTTTACGGCCATAGAAGAGAGAGAGAGAGAGAGTGTGTGTGTGTAGGGTCAAAATTTAGCCCTCCAAATTCATAAATGTCAGTTTTTACTTTCAAATATAGCCAAAAACTCACTTAAATTGTCTCAAATACCTCTAAATTAAAACTCAATTACACCTAAAACCCAAAATAGCAGGAGTACTATAACAAAATTGGCTTGCCAACTAAATCATGCCAATAAATCCTATCATAAAAATGACAATAATGTAATTACCAAAAAGAAAAAGTAAAAGAAAAGCCAACATTTTCATAAAACCTGGCAATAAAAATGATCTCTGCGGTTATGGCTTGAATCAGTGAGTTTGGGAGTTTTTTACAATAAAAAAATTAAAAGCAATTTGTCGACATAATCATTTTTAATTGAAGAAAAGAAAGTGGAACTTTCTTGCAAAATTCGTATCATAAAGAAAGACCATGTGATGTGACTCAATCTAATGGAAAGAAAGACCAATTTGATATCAAAGAGAGAATTGGAGGACCGTTAGAATGAAAAAATTAGTTGGTTGACCAAAATAAAACTTGAGCACAAGTCAACGGGCTATTCCATTAAAAAATGCATTCAAGAAACGTATCTCTAATTTTATAATCATGCCAAAGAGGTCTCCTAATTTCAGATTACTCAGTATTTATAGGGTGTACTAATTTGCGCATCATTCTACTTTGCGCATCATTAGATGTTATTGTGAATACGAATATACAGGTGGTTGAACTTCAAACTTTTGTTCATTCAATTAGTAGCCGAGTGGATTTCAAGCAGAAAAGTGATAACAAACCGATAGTTGGCTCTTAGCCTCTGTTTACAACTGTGTCAAACTAATGCTTTTTCTGTGT